TTTTTTTTTTTTTTTTTTTTTTTTTTTTTTTTTTTTTTTTTTTTCAGGGCGACTAATCCATCGCAATTCGAAATTGAATTTTTTGTCAACGACTTGAGCAAACCTGGAGCCTCGACGTTTGAGTCACTCGGTGGACTGGAGTACAAGCAAAACGTTCACATTCAACTCGAATGCGACAGAAAGCACTTGCCCACTGACGGATTGGTCTTGAGAGGCTGGTATACGACGATAACCTTGGCGGTGTACGGCAGTCTAACGAAATCCCTGAGCAATCCCCAAGAAATTCCAGCATCAGCGGCTCAACCGCCGCCTTGTGCTCCTCCCGTTGTCGAAGAAGAGGCACCGGCAAGCAATGCTCCCGCCGTCCCGGACCAAGAACAAGAATGGTACTACGAGAACCAAGCTCATGCCACCAATACAATGGTAAATATGTTTGAAATATTTCTTAGACTCTCGAAAACTACAGCGTGAAATTGTGTTTTCCTTCTTAACGTATGTAACGTGCATTACAACAGGAAGCAGCAACAGCAACACCCTCTCCTCCAGTTCATGTCTCACCAGTTGTGGAACCTACAAAGGCTCCGGCAGTTCCAGAACCTACCAAGCCAGAGGGCCCACAGTGGAAAGAACAGGAGTCGTCGCCCGTGGCGCACAAGACTGGAAAGAGGCCCTCCACACCGCCAACCGAGTCCCTTGTGTCTCTTAGTCCGGAATCTATATCCGCTGAGGAAGAGGAAGGCGAGCGGGAGCAAGTCGAGGAGCCGGGCGCCGTGGAGCCGTTCGAGCCGATTCTGTCGGACGAGGATGTCATGGCGGACGATGATCCTCCGTCCGTTGACTTTGACTACGATAATTCGATCCAGCTCGGCGAGCTGTACACGATCAGCCCACCCGACTTGTTGGAGCTCGACAAGTACGAGGACAAACTGACCGAGGGCGTCGCCGAGAAGCTCATCGACATAATTAACAGTCTGTCAAAGTCGGTCACGAACTTCAGTAACGCCTCTGGCCAGGAGAAGGAGACGTTCGTTCACAACTGCGAAAACTTGTGTGTAACCCTAGGAAACTTCGAGCTCGGCGATAAAGATCTGAAAAGCTTATCTCTCGTCGTCGATGCTGGGCTGAACGTCGAGTTTGCGTGCTCGCAGCCACAGCCAGCCTACAAAGTCCGGCACGTCAAGGTCGGTGTCAGACTAGCCGAGGCCCTGTGTCGCCTACCATCGGGGCCCGAGATCCTCTTGGAGGTCGACGCCCCGAGAAAACTGCTGTCGCTGTGCATGCGTGAAAACGTGGCGCTTCCTGTTAAACTGGCGGCCATCAGAGCCGTCGATGCAGCTCTGATCAGTCCAAAGATCGTGGAGGAGTTCCTGAGGGTCGAAAACGAACTATACAAGTTGACCCTCGTGATGCTCGACTCTGCCAAGCTGGCGAGACTCAAGTACGCCCTCAGCTCTCTGCTGAGAAAAGTGCACGTGTACGAGACCCTCGCCGAGCTGCAGGAGCTCACCGAGCTGGAGATTACTGAGCTGACGAACGCGTACGCCTACGCCCAGACGCTGATGGCCCAGCCGAGGCGCCAGCTGCCCGTCAGCGCCCAGATGGAGTTCGAGAGGGAGCAAAACCGCAACCCCCAGAGGCATCTGATCAGCTACTTCGATCATTGGAAGCTCGCGGGCCGGCTGCTCCTGGTACTCTGCTCCCCCGACTCCGAGGTCAGCCTGATACGGGCTTGTCGGCGATTCTTAGCCCTTCTGGCTGAAACAAAGGACGGTCTGTTGTATCTCCTTAAGGAGGTAGAAGTCACGAAGACTCTACTGAGGGTCCTGCAGTATGACGAGCCTGGTCTAGGTTCCACGATTGCCTGGCGGCTGCAGGTAGTGCAGTGCCTGATAGCTATCGAGCGCCAGACGGGGGACTGGACCCCACTGAGGAAGCTTCACTCCTTCCTGGTGCACTCCGAGGGTCTTCGGGCAATCATTCGCGTCGTCCCAATGGAGAATTTCGTAGACATCCTGATAGGCTGTCTCCCCAACGGCGACCTCGTTGAATTCGCCGGTGAGTTGATAGCCACCGTCGTTCGCTACTCCAGCGAGATCGAAATATTCCAGAACAGGGCGGCCGACCTGCTGCTGGAGAAGCACGCCAATCACTCGGTTCTGCGGGACGTGATTCCCCACTTGAGCGTGGCAGCTCAGCCCGCCCATTGGAACTACGGCGACGTGACCTCGCTCGTGAGCATCGTTCGAAAATATGCCGAGAGGGCATCTACTCTTCCTGGTGAGTACTGGCATACTTGATCGAGCGGCCGATTCGATTTTTCGTGTACATTTACTTACGTGCCATTCCTTTTATTTTTACTTTCAGGAGAGCTTATCACAGCCTGTCGCATCTTGCACTACCTGGTTTTTCCCGCGAACGACGACATCGATCCCATGGAGCCTTACATCGAGCTGAAGCACCGTAACGCCTTGACTCAGCTGTTTGCCGCGGACGGTCTGACAGCCCTGGTTGCGGTGATGATAAACATTGGCCAGTTCTACGAGCAACCGCTGCTGCACCGAGCAGCACTCGCCGGCCGTAGACGACTGGCCTTGATAGCCCTTCTGGCGCCTTGCGCAAGGCTGATCAGGGCCATACTCGAGAGACTGGTCAAGTGCATGGCCACCGAGTTCAAGGACCTGACCGCGGTCGTACCGCTGCTCGGGGTCTACTGCCTCGTCGAAGCGATGCTCCCGGAGAGCGAGACTCGCGCCTTGTCCGACGACATCGTTGAGACTCTTCTGGTGTTTACTCGGGCTGTTGACTCGGACGGCTCGGGTAACGTCGCCAAGTCCTTGTGGACGCAGATGCTCGGTGAGGTCCTCAAAGTGGTCTCCTCGAACCCGTGTAACTTCATACCGGGTCTGAGGCTGTTGGCCAAGTTGCTGCCACCCATACTGTCACCCGTGGAGCTCAGCTCACGGGACAAGGTCAGAGTATTGGGCTTCAGGAAGCTGTGGTCGGCCCATTTACAGGCCCAGGCCACCAGCCTCACCGAGACGCTTAGACTGCTTTGCGCCAGCTGGAACACGGAACTGCTGGCTTTGCTTTCTGCCGTTTGCAAGCAGTTGAGTGACCTCGCGGCTCCGACCGCGCTGCTGGTTGGACGGTGTCTCTTGGACGGGATCCTCACGGCCAACCCTCTCGAGAGCAACCTACCGACGCTGGCTTTGCTCGCCGATTTGACCAGGCATGCTCCCATGAAGGCTACACTGCTGACATTGACGAGCCCTGCTTCCAGGGCACAAGTCAAATCGGATCAGAAATACCCCCCGGTCATTGAGATGATGTGCGCGGCTTTGAAGAGCACGAGCGATGCCAGGGTTCAGAGGGAGCTGGTCGATGTTTTCGAGACGCTTTGCGATCACAAGCTCAGTTTGGTGCAGGAGAGTACCGAATCGTTTGAGAAGCAGCTGGCCCACTCGATCCCGAGCAAAGAGCCGCTGCTAGCCATCATCGCGGCCTTGATTGAGATTCTCGCCAATACGTCCAAGTATCAAGTTGACGTCCTTGAAACTGCTCTGAGGATACTCATATCACTGACGAGTCACAACTACGGGCTTTATCACGTCAAGAGTTGTCTGGAAAACAATCCGGAAGCATTGAAAAGTCTTCTCGAGTTCGTCGCGCAAGGTATGCTATTTTTTATCATTTTTAATTTACACGGAGCGTACAACATGTTTTCTCTCGTTCGTTTCAGGAAAAGGTGAAGACAACGAAGATGAGGCACAGAAGAACGAATCTTTATCAGAACTGATCGTGAATTTCCTGGACAGTTTAATATCTTGTAAAACTCCCGAGAGAACATTGTCACTTCGGCCGGCTCAGCTGTCGGTATTGATATCTTGGGAAAAAGAGAATCATCCATTGGCAAGGATTCGACAAGCAGCCGACTTGGCCGAAATCTTGCAAAGTCTAGAAGACAAGGAAGAAAAAGAATCTGTGCCAGAAATGCTCGAGCCTTTGTTGTTGCCTCCCGAGGCTCTGTTGAATCAGTTTGCTCAACGATCTACGACGGTTAGGCAGAACAACAGCATAAAAAAGTCATTGTTAGACGTACAAAGTGACAATACTGTGGATTTGTTGGCATTAGCCACGGAGTTGCTGCCTGCCGATTTCAACTTGTTATCAGAGGCACAGAGAGTGTGCTCAAAGGTGCCTCTTTACTACACGACCCACGCCAAATGTCAGGAAGAAGTGCAGCATTCGCGGGAAGGTCAAAAACAAATAAACGCGCCAACAACTAAAACGAAACAACCTTTTGGTAAAATTCGAGTCGCTTGAATAAATATATGTAAACTTACTTGTAATTTTAGAATTTTCCATTAACATTTGTTATTTACAGTTGCACCGATGCGAGGCAGAAATCAGTATTCTAATTCGATGCGAGGGAATTCAGTGAGCGGAGGTGTTGGAAGAGGAGCGGATCCATTTCGCTCTCGGCCACCCAATACCTCGAGACCGCCTTCTCTGCACGTCGATGATTTCGTAGCTCTGGAAACATGTGGAGCACAACCGACCGGACCAACAGGGTACAATAAATTGAGCATCAGAGGATCGAGTCAATCAAGAGGTGTCATAAGTAACTCTCGAAGCAGACCCTGGGTTCCGGAAACTCGGTCCTCGTACATGCGTTAGTTTATTTTTAACTTTTTATTTTTATAACTATGAATTCAATGAAATACTGATACATACGTTTGATTTTATTCCATTTTATTATCAATATGACAGGCGTTTATAGAAAAACAACTTTTATTAAAAACTAGACTAATAATGTACATAACAATTAAATACATTTATTTATGAATTCTCTTTAAATCATTGTTTGTTGCATTATAATACAAGTGAACATTTTCTTTTCATTTTGCGACAGATTCTCGTTCTGTTACGACTTTCCTACCCATATCTTGTAGCCAAGTTTTGTATCGTAAGTTGAAAGTTGCGAAACCAACTTTAAATCCTTCTTTTTGTGCACATGGATGCTAAAGAATCACACAAATAGAATAAGCGTACGTAAAATTTTTTTAACATTTTAAATTTTATTTTATTTTATTTTCACCTTCATTTTGAGCAATCCCGACATTTTCTGTTGAAAAGTATCTAGTTTCTCATAAGTCGTTTCTTCCAATCGTACTCTTTCGCGCCTAACTATCTCCATCAACTGTAATGTGAAACTGAAATCTCTTTGATAAAAAGCAGATTGAAACAATGTATCTGCAACATATTTATTTATGGTATGACCAGTGGCTTTCATAGCTGCTAAAAGATCTTTACTCTGACTTGTCGAGTTGCATGCAAGAGCCATTACTCCATACGTCACGATATTGGGCCTCAAATCAGCCCTATGAATGTCGTCAAGAACTTTCTGTAATGAGATTGAAAAAATATAGAAAAAAATAAAACACCAAAACGACAAATACACTTTCTTATACAAATTTTTTTTTTACCTTGGCATCTTTGGTAGCACCTCTTAAGGCACGTTTTTTTATCAACATATTGTAAAAATCTATATCCAGTTGTAACTTTTCTGATCGAGCATATTTTATAATCGCATCTTCTGCAGCCACAGAATCTGGAACTAGTTCAATCAAATACGTTACGGTTTTAACATTAGGCGTTATTCTGTCGTTCTTCATTTTTTGTAAAAATCCTTCAACACCCCCAAACAGAATTAGTTTATTTTGTTTTAAAATTGCATCTAAATCCAAGTTGGCTAGTGTCGGTGGTAAAATTTGTACAGATTTTTCTGAGAACATAGAATCTGTCGACTCTGAAGGTTCTGAGTCTGTAGATTCTGAAGTAGGAGCATCCAGTAAAAGCTGATTTGTTGCTTTTTTGTGTATATTTTTCAAGGGTAAAGAACTAATGACTGGTGGGTACAACAACAAATCCGGTCTGTTATCGTCTGTAATAATTGCTGGACATTCCTCACTTGGAAGAAGTAGTTGACTTACAGAACAATCGCTACCAAAATTGGTGTCTCTAATGGCTCTCAGTATAAGATTGTAAGTGAATATATCAGGCGGAACCTGTGAAAAAATCCCCATGTTTCAAGGTAATTAACAAAATTTGACTACAAGTATTTATGGAGGACTTACTCTTAATTTTCTCATCAGTTGCCAGACATGTAAAACATGCTTCAGTCCAGATTCCTTATTCGAGTTTGCAGCAAACATTAAGCTATTCAGCGTTGATATACCAATTTTCATTTTTTTATCCATCATTTGTTGAAAGAGTTTCAAAGCTTTTTCATACTCATCGTGTTGTCCATAAGCTTTTACCAATGCATTGTAATGAGCATGGTTCATAGGCTCTTTTTGGTTCATCATATAATCCTTGATTTTTTCCAAGTATATTAAGGCTTTATCAGAATTTGGCGAATTGGCACAAGCATTGAACAAACTTGTGTAGACATTGCCTTTGATTTTATGTTTTGCCGCTTTCATTTGCGCGAAATACTTGTAACAACCTTTAACGTTTCCTTGCATGGCTAATCCTCTTATTATAAGGGTAAACATGTACGGTGTAGGTTTATCGTAGTTTTTTCTGCATTCAAGAATTATTTTTTCCGCTGATTCGAAATCTCCTTTATCCATGTAAGCTTTCATCATGTCAGCGTATTGTCCAGGAGATGGTTTGAGTTTACGCGGCACCCGTCCTCCCAGGGTTTTTAATCTTTCTTCTTCTTTCTTCTCATCGGTATCCAATGCAACTGCTTCATATTTTAAGCCACCCATTGCACCAAACACATCAGATTTAGGAAGTGGTGGAGGCAACGGAGGTATCTCTTCTGTTGAATATTTTAAACAACAAATTTGATTTACTGATTTTCCTGGACGGTACTCATTAAAATTTAAATCAGAAAAGCGTAGTTTCTCAAATTCCTTTCTCAGTGTATGAAGAGAGGCTTGCGACAAATAACTGTTACTTTTAGCATTTGTAAATTTATCGAGACACTGATTGTTAGTTGCAAATCGTAGCGACTTGGAAAAACGTGAAAACTTTGTTGAAAGAAGCATTTTGCACACTTTAAAATATGTAATTTAAGCTGATTCGAAAAACTGCTCGTAATTAACACTTGTTTTTAAGTACTCTAATGTTTCTAAAGTTTATACAAGTGTTATCTGAATTGAAATTATTTATCTGAGATGTTTAATAAATACGGCGAGATATCACACAAAAACATTCTTATTTAAGAGATAATTATATTAATTTATTTTTATCATACTTTACACGCATGGCAATGCCACTATTGCTTTAGGGCCTATTCACGGTTCTACTGATGAGTTTCACAACACGACGTATATATACAGCATAAACAGTATGAGTATGAGGCTCTTTTACAGTCAAGCTCGAATCAGATGGCGCCAGGGCACGTCGCGGCTGTCATGGCCGTCTCACTCACACAACATTACTTTTCAGTAGTGTATGTATATAGGAAATTAAAGTGTAGTGGTAAAGCGCGATATTTGAAATTTTGAAATAAATAAGGAAGACAAGAAAGAATATTATGGGAGCTTAAAAGTTTCAGAATTGAAAAAGCTTTCTGACAAACCAACAGAACTCTATTTATTAGATAGAATTTAAAAAACTTCGTTTAATGATTTGCATTCCTTATTAAGTGAAATTAATTGCCTAAAATTCATAGTCCATTTGATAGCATTTGAAAAAATCAAGTTTTCTTTTCTACATGAATCTATAGACACTTCCATCAGTTGGTAAAATTAGATAGTTGTTAATAATTGTTGTAATGCATATGGTAAGTAGATATTTAGAATTAAATATTTGAAAAATGACCGTGGGTGACGCCACAAGTGCATACATGTATATATGTATGCGTGCGTGGGTGGTTTATTTTTTTTTTGCCGGTAGCAGAAAGCAAGTGCCCATGCTTGCGCTTGCAAATCATTTATTGTAAAGCTCACATCAGTCCATCTTAGAGATAGCCATCGGATGCCTCGCAATAAAATCAACACTTATTCAAACTTAATTGTGTAGCATTACTTTTTTGTGTCTTAAAAATACTTTTTAATAAGTATTTTTAGTTTAATGATTTTTGGGATAAAAGGAGCATGATACCAAAAGAAGTAACTTACTACACAGAGAAGAAAGTTCAGTAATCAGTAATAAATAATCTGGTGTAGTACTAGAAACAACAGTTGTACTCACGTAATTATGAATGCATTGACAGGTAAAAGGGGTCAAATTAATTTGTGTATATGTATATATATGTGTTCAAAAAATATCATGTGTTTATTATTATATAAATATAAATTTCAATTACAGGAATGGATCATTTGAAAAAGATTGCATTCAGAATTGCTGTATGTGGCGGCCTAGCGACAGTAGTTGCAATAAATTCCGTGCCATTTATATTAAATCGTAGAATTCGTGAGACACAACACTACAAGAAGGCCTTGGAACTTTTATCTAATCATGCAGATGCCGTAAAGTATTTGGGCAAACCAATAACAGCTCGAAGAATCCTGGTATCTGATCCAGATCATTATGGTGCTGATGACGAAAAAATGTGGTTTAAAGTACCAGTGACAGGACCAAATGGAAAAGGTTTTTTGTTTTACAATGTAAAAGTGAAAGATTATGACAAAAATTCACCGGAGTTATCGCGAGTTGAACTCACAGTTGATAAATTTAAGGATTACAAGTTGATAATAAAATCCGAATAGTTTTGAGATTTTAAAAAGCATTATATTATTTGAAAACTTGTAGTGGCATATCTGTGACACCTTCAGGGGCTTTTAAGCCTCTTCTAGTGTATCCAAAACCAGCTTGTATTACATGAATGGCAGCAGAAACTGTTAAATCCACACTCATTTGGTTTCCTATTTTTGGGTTAACTTCTACCAAGTCAACAGCATTTAATCTACGAGTTCTGTGTAGTTCTTCCATTGCATGAACAGCTTCTCTCAAAGATAAACCTCCCCTTACTGAAAATATGTGTGATAAATTAAATGAAGCAAAGTTTGTATCCAACTAGTAAAACATACCTGGGGTTCCCGTGCTTGGAGCCTCAAGTGGATCCAGTGAATCAATGTCAAAACTAACGTGCAATGATTTGTTGCCATCTGGATCAATTTTCGTCAAAGCCATATGTATGACATCGTGAATTCCTATACATCATAAAATTTGATATGTAACAAGTAATCATTTTGCAGCTTTATTAGTGATATGAACACATACTTACCATATCTTTCAACATCTTCCATACCAAAAGCAGTGATACCAAATTTTTCTATGACCAATCTTTCATAACGATCAACCGATCTTAAACCAATGTAGGCTACATTTCTAATTGAAAGCCTATAATAAAAAATAATTATTGCTTATTAAAATGCTGTATCATTGAGGTATCAATAAATACTTGCATTGGCTGTTGCCAGTCCATCCCAGGCAAATAAGGCCAGTAGTCAGCTAGTTCGGACGTTAATAACGCAACTGGCATACCATGAACATTTCCACTTTCACTGGTTTTGTTTGTATTTAAATCAGCATGAGCATCAATCCACAATATTGCAACGTTTTTCTTCATCTAAAAAAATATTTAAAAAAATTTTTAATAGCAGTTTGTTGCAACAATACATTTGCGTAAGCATTTTGTTTACTTTGACATGGCCATCAATAGATCCAATACCAATGCTGTGATCGCCTCCTATGGTTAAAACATTTCTACCATCCAACAAAATACGTTGAACCATTTCTGACAACTTTTGTGTACACCCAGCCACGTGATTTAAATGCATCATATTGTCCACTTCAACGTTTGAAGTTTGATACTGTACGTTTCCATAATCGTGAACATCTAGTCCTGCAGTCATAATAATAATAATAAAGAAAAAAATGGTTTGCTAAATTCAAAACATTTTATTTTGCTGAAAACGCACCTAAAGATTGTAGTTCTTGAATGAGACCTGCCGATCTTATGACGTCAGGAGCTAATTCTACTCCTCCCTTTTTCTGTACACAAACAAAGCTTAATAAAAATAGGAGGGGAAAATTATATACTTATTTAATTTAAAACATACTTGTCCTTTATTAAATGGCACTCCAATAATACCCACTTTTTCATGGTTTCTTAGCCCAATTTTCGAAAAAAATCGCTTAACACTTTGTCCTAACATGGTTACCTAAAGTTTGTGACTAACTTGAAAAAAACTCACAGAAGAAAGAAAAGTTACTCAATGACCTCTACCCCCTCTTTTTCGCTTCTGATAGTGCGTATCACTTTGTGTGAAGACTTCTTATCTCATACGAAAAGTAGGAAAAACTTTTAAAGTGTTTCAAAGGAATGATGATGAATAAACACTGGTCTTATCTTACTTTATACATATATAATTCAAAAGGTTTTGTATCTATAAACAATATTTGACAAGTATTTTTTTCATCCATTGCATTACAGCGTATTAGAAATGGATTTTCAACAATAATCGTGAAAAATAATTGTTTAACGACACTTTACTTAGGCCCCAACATTTCTTCTGGTTTCACCCATTGGTCGAACTGCTCGGAAGTCAGGCCATTTTTCAGCGCCGATTCCTTCAATGTTAACTTTTCTTTGTGCGCCTGTTTCGCAATGGCTGCAGCCTAAAATTCACGGAAAACATTTTTGCTTGTTTGATTAAAATCGATTAACTTTTTACAAGTGTTACGGTGCTATAAAAAAAATACTTACCTTATCGTAACCAATGTGAGGATTAAGGGCAGTGACTAGCATCAAGCTTTCGTTCATAATCTTCTTGATATTATCGATGTTTGGCTGAATACCGACGACGCAATTCTTCGTGAAGGTGGCCGCCGCGTCTCCGAGCAATCTCGTCGATCGGAGCACATTGGCGACGATCATGGGCTTAAATACGTTGAGCTCGAAGTGCCCGTTGCTTCCACCGACACTCGTCGCCACGTGATTGCCCATCACTTGGGCGCACACCATCGTCAACGCTTCACACTGGGTTGGATTCACTTTGCCGGGCATAATCGAGCTGCCGGGCTCGTTCTCAGGAAGCGAGAGTTCGCCCAGTCCGCACCGTGGTCCACTTCCCAAAAATCTGATGTCATTTGCGATCTGAGCAATAACAACGATAACGTCAAAAAAAAAAAAAAAAAAATAGAAGCGATAAACGAAAACGGAATATACGTTTTTAGTAAATCGTAGAAAACAAGAGAAAAAAAACCTTCATGAGAGATACAGCGACGGTATTGAGAGAACCGTGAACCTCGACGAGAGCATCGTGAGCAGCGAGGGCTTCGAATTTATTCGCCGCCGATACGAAGGGAAGACCGGTCAGGGAGGCGATTCTTGCGGCGGTCTTTTCCGCAAAGCCCTTTCTCGTGTTCAGACCCGTGCCTACTGCCGTACCACCAAGGGCCAGCTCGTACAACCTCGGTAGCGTGTCCTTGACTCTGGCGATACCATACTCCACTTGCTTCGTGTACCCTGTGTGCAAACGCGACAACCACGGTAAATTAAAAAATATTCATACAGAGCATTACGAGTGTCCAGTGAATCGAGCTGCTTTGGTAACGCACCCGAAAACTCTTGCCCAAGAGTGAGCGGCACCGCGTCTTGCGTATGCGTTCTGCCGATTTTGATGATGTCCTTCCACTCCTCGGACTTTTCCTTGAGCGCGGCGTGCAGCTGAGTTAGACCGGGTAACAGGATCTTGTTGATCTCCAGGGCCACGGATATGTGCATCGCTGTCGGAAAGGTGTCGTTTGAGCTCTGCGACTTGTTCACGTGGTCGTTCGGGTGGACCGGGTTTTTCGAGCCCAGCTCACCACCCAGGAGCTCGATCGCTCGGTTGGAAATCACCTGAATACAAGCACGTTGGGGTGAAAATTAAAATTTTATCAATACGGCGTGTGGTTCAATTTTTTAATGCGAGATAAATTTATCAGTCGTATAGATGATACGCGCCTCGTTGGTGTTCATGTTGGTTTGCGTGCCCGAGCCGGTCTGCCAGATGACCAGGGGGAAATGCTGGTCGTAGAGACTCCCGCTGATCACGTCGTCGGCTGCTTTGCTGATAGCATCGGCAACTTTTGGGTCAAGTCCGTACTCCTTGTTCACCTCGGCGGCGGCCTTTTTTAAAATGCCCATCGCGACGATGACACCTTTCTGAAATGAGAAATCGTTCAAATTTCATGTTTTTGATGATCAAACGTTATATAAACGGCGTGTTCTGCGATTTTTAACATACAATGTCTTTTAAAAAGTACTAATTGGATTTAAATTTGATGCAGTAGTGAACTTTTTTTTTTAATTGTCCTAAAGTAAGCTGTAGTTATGTATGGTTTAGTATATACACTTACCGGCATGCGCTCGGACTGGTCGCCGATCGGGAAGTTCATTACCGATCGCATGGTCTGGGCTCCATAGTACTTGTCTGCCGGTACTTTCAGTTCACCGAAGGTATCCTTCTCGACTCTGAATTCGCCACTTCGCCATCTCTAAACAATATACGTATTGAATTAAAAAAAAATCAGAGGGATCGTTCAATTTTGCCGATGAAAAGATCGAAAAGTAAAATAATCCAAAAAATAACAAAGAAAACCAACGCCAAGCATGGTGTGTGTTTATGGTGTGATGCGTGTCACGTGAAAGAAAAATTAAAGGTAGGTATATGTAAGAATAGAGGAGCAGCAGTTGCGTTAACTGAGCAAAGTACGTCGAAGCACTAAAAGTCTGCATCAGACGGAGGTTTACACAGCAGAGGACTTTACTACTTCTCTTCGACGTTGTTAATGATAAGCGGCGGAAATCTCTCACCACAGACTATGATATACACGCATAGGTATCTCTGTTTATAAATGTACATGATTCTTATACTGTTGTTGCGAGCCTTTCACTTTTTCTCTCTCTCCCTTTCTCCCTTTCTCGACATTAGTATATAGGTATTATACTTTTTTTTTGTTCCATTCATTTCTTTTAAATTGTTTTTTAAAATTATTTTATTTCATTAGATACTCTCACACGAACGCCCGCATACTCAAGATTTACCGGCAAACTGAGTCCGTGGTTTTCAAACGTATAACGTTATACGAGCTGTCATTGATAAACAAATCCTGGCTATAACTACGTACATTTGTTTGCCTTCAAAGTCTTCCATTATTGATGTAATGGTTGGTTCCTCTATTACCTTTTATCTAATTTGTCGAGCCAATATAGCTTATGTAAGATATCATGCTTTACGCCCATCTTTAATGTGTACTTACATACATATTAATTTCTTTTACACATAAATGATATCTGTATTATTTGCATTTTTTAAATAGTATTTTTACTTTAGTCTTGCAAGAATACATCCCTACAAATTAAAATTTTTTAACCTCTGATGCGCAAAAATGATACGATAAATAAACATTATCTGTCAGAAATATTCATAACAAACGGTATAGTTGACAATTGCCGGCGTTTGCATGGATTATTATTTATTTTTTTTTTTTTTTTTGGCAATTGCACCTTTTTGGTTTTCCAAAAAGTGCCATTTTGCCAATCATAGCAACAAGTGCAGTGCCCAATATACCCCGATGAGTGAATAAGGACGCGCCCCGAGCACTTGCATTTCTTATCTCTCGGCTTTCAGGCGCTCACGACGAGCCGAAGATAACGACACGCACTCGACAATGACGGCTCGACGCGGCGTCGTCATCTGATACATCGGCAAGGCCGACCGCAACGGTGTAACATACATATCGCAGTGACAGTGCGCGCTCGACAGCGAGAGAAGGTCTACTCGACCGCGGAGGTGTGTGCTCCCGCGAAAAAAAAAAAAAAAAGGAACTTCATCGACATGATGCTCGGGACGTCGTTAAAGCGCTGCTCGTTAATCGTATTGATTTTCGGTGAGTTTTACGTTNAATTTAAATTATCATGGCGCGTATATATGTAAAATATTCTTCATAACCTACAAATTCAGACAAATTCGGAAGCTATACTATCATGAGATAAAAAGTGTTAAATCAACGAATGTAAAATCTATAGATAGATCTATTCCACGAATGAATTCATCGAAATAAAAGGTATGATTGGTGAGTGTATAGGTATATGTGTCATGTACTGAACTCTATCAACTGATCCTCAATTCCTCAGCAACAACAGTGTTGTATCGAACGAACGAGTAATAACAAATGAAAGCGCGAAAGCTCTAGCTGATAGAAACATTGTAAGTATAGAGTTGTATGATGGACAACAAAAGAGCTGGAAGAAACGACGACCGTGTTCCATTCACATAGAGTACTATAGTATAGGTAATAAATGGGCACAAATGAATTGCACAACTTATCAACTAAGTGGTTACGAGTACCTTAGATTCAGTGCAACATAATTTTGGTTGGCACATGGCGAGCCGGGGCACGAACAGGGCGCTTATTTCCCTTGGCTGTCGGCCAAGGCCGCTCGTCACTCTTTGCCTCAGAACATTCATTTTGTTACACTTATTGTCCTTATTGCTACTTTTTTATTAAGTACTTTTAAATCCGTGAAAAGCCCCGATTTGCGGGCTTAAAGGGAACGCGAACACAGCTTGTATATATATACATACACATATATGTTGTGGGGGTGCGTGTGTTTAATGTGTCTTCTGCTTGCCTGCTGCTGTATGCTCTATGCGCGCGCATATGCTGCACATTTCATTTGCCGCTTATTTTAGCGTCATCTTTTGAATCGTCGTCCTGCAGGTACATTATATCAACTGCAATAACATTGTTTATTTGAATTTTTAGTTATCAACGATAACGGTATCTTTTCTTTTAACACGTGTCAAACGTTTAACAGCCGAGATCAATGAACGCGAATCAAAAAGGCCTACATCGAGCTGCCAAAAGTCCAGTTGCATAATTATACTTACTTAAGCGCGAAAATACATTTAAAGCTTATAATTTCCGATGAGGGAAAAAGATGTTACATGACTGAACCTTCGCTTCTTTCTCCTCAACTCACCCTCTCAAACGTAAACGCATCCGCAGTGTTGTTTTATGCAAAACTGTTGGATCCATAAACGAACGTTTGTTATAACGTACATTTAATATCATATCTTCGCGTACCTCCACGAATAACGCGCCTCGCGTAACGTTTCGTGTCGAGGCCTTTGCGCGAGAATGTACTTACCCGGTTGGCTCCGTGTTGCCGAAGATAAACAAATAAAATGCAATTCAAGTCACGGCAAACACACGACTGTTAACTTACCGACATCGACGAACAATATCCCCTTCAATTTTTCCGATAGGTACATGCATGTTTTTTGCCGTGTAGCTCCGCGTGTACGTGTTTTCGGTGCTTATATTGTTTCATGAAATAAAAAACGGGCCCTCATCGGCCAAAAATGTGTTTGGTGTTTGACATTAAAAAAAAAAAAAAAATGCCCTCGAGGTGTAAAGAGTATATATATATGTATGTAGGTGTGCTCGTCCACGCGCAAAGCGAGCCGGTACTCATATACGCGTGGAAACTGGTTGAAGCTTTCATACCCGTCCTCCTATTTTTTGGTCAGCCTGCACATGCAGCGGCTATAGGTACAGCCCTTAAGCCTCCCTGGGCCCCGGGGTTTTTCCCAGTACCAATACACGCGCACACGGGTTAACATTTGTGAGCTCGGCCAACATATAATGTGTGAAGAGATATCCCTCCTGGCTGGTAAAAATGCCTTCCACAATACTGTACGTTCAATCGCAACATAATGTAACGACATATGGACGGGTTATAATGCACGTCGGACAGGCCTACCGACACACGCATTGTTATGCCGAGCTTGATATGTTGAATTTTTTAGTCATCGGGAGTAGTTGAGCGTGTACCTATATTCGTATACTCTTTGGCAAATAACATCCACGAAGCACAACGGAGAAAGACATCAGGAGACAGAGACGGAACGCATAATATATACTCCCTGCGATGTAGGCACACATAGATGTGTAAGTATTAGGTAGGTAACATTCCTCTTGGCTTCACTCCGCAGTCGCTCGCGGTACACTTGGTCCGATAACCGTGTGCTCCGATTCGCAATAGAACAACACGAGTAGTATTACGTATGATACCCATTAAAACTAATTACTTATACGGTTACTTGTTTTGCTCAGTATTGTTAACATGTAGAGTGATGTCCTGTAGTTTTGGAGCAAAAAGGCCGAACGATTGACAACATTGTTGTTCGCTCGCTCCACTCGAGAGAAAAAAAACGAGGGAGGAAGAGTTAACGTTGCGAGGACAAAAAATAAGTACACAACGGATGATCGCACCAAAGATGCACGAGCATAAACAATCGAGGAGCAATTAATTTTTGCATCTCGACGCAATCGTGTGGAATCAATGCTGGCTTCCGGATCCTTACTTTCGGCAGCCGGAATAATGTGCAATAGCATCGGGACGACTGGCGACCACGGCGGCAACAGCAGTGGTACAACAAAGTTCGGGTGGCACTGGTACAGCGAGGAAACGCAACGAGAACAAGATCGCCATTGCCACAGTTTTGTCAAAAAGTGAATTGTACATTCGTACACATGTGCGTGTGTATACAGGCAGGTGCAGTGCCCCGTAGGATTTTGTTGCTATACAAAAGTACCCGTACCAACTGTAACTTTGATACAGCCACCAATTGACTTGGTTCGGCGAACTTGCGAGCTCCACCCGCCCGCTGCCACCGCCACCTCCTCAACTGTTGTATATATATATATACACACATATACGTACATTAGAACCTTCCTCCGTTCAAGCTGACGCGAGAGGTAAGAAAGAATTCGTGTTTTGTCCTTGTTATCGTTCACTCCATTATAAATTTTTTTAATCATCGCCATATTATTATTATTATTATTATTCTTATTATCATGCACATTCGTTTAATCGCTTTATTTCGACGCCCACGCACGCTACGTATATTTACACGCCTGATGCATATAGGCACAAAAATACATGTATAGGTATATACCCGCTCTTTACTTACACACACACACACGTAACTTTCGAGCTTTCGTGCGGCTCTCTGAATTAAAAGTGCAAAGAGAGAGAGAGGGAGAGGGAGGATAAAAAATTGGTCAAGGCTATCGATTAACAACACACGTTTCTTCGTTTATACTTATATGTATAGGTACGTGCGCGGGGGTCCCCAAAAAATTTAAAAGGTAAAATAATCGTCGAATTGTTGTAAACCCGAAAGAGCCGCCCACCTATACGCTGTTGGGAAAGTATAATAAAAAAAAAAAAAAAAAAAAAACGAACGAGCACATATGCAAAACCAATCCAAGGGCGCCATTTGTTTGGCTATATCGTGGCTAGAGCTTATTATTTACTACGAGCTATGACGTAAACACACCAAGCAGTAAACCCCACTCTGTCGGTGTCTAGTATAATATACTCTTCCTTTTGGAGCCATATTATACGTACATATCATCCTCCAATACTCTCGCGCTACGCCACTCTGATTGCTTATTTATATATATATATATATGTATATGTATGTTTGTGTTCTTGAGTCGCTTGTTGATGGCACCTCGTGTACTAATCATATCTCCGTCCGCGACGTGATGTGTACCTACTTGTGGATACCTCAGGTCTATACTGTGGACGTGCGCGGTTGCGCGAACTCACCAATTAAGTCCTTATCAATTTTGACGGAGTACCCATACAACCCGTCGATTACTCCCGTACACGCTGCATTGGCCGTCTCTCTTGTATTTTCGCCTTCCCTCTCGAATCCGTCGGTTTCCTAAAAATAGATGGGCGCTCACTTACATGGGAAAACAAAAAGAACGAAACAGGCGGTCCGGCGCCTCTGGACCACTCGGCCAATCGATTCCTCCGGCACGCGTCTCCCCCTCCCCCGCAATGGCGAAAATAAAACGTCTCGAGCGTTTATCTACGACTTAAAATTCGGACGGTCAATATAATATACCTACAATGAACCGTATGAAACGCCATGGAAAATATTTTTCATCGTTTCCAATGAATATTTTTTTTCTTTTTCATCGGTCGGACAACGGCAAGTGTTGCGTGAGGGTTCAATATTCGCGACGTATCGGCTCGGCGATATTATCACATCTGCCGTTCTAATTAATCCGATGGAGCAAAAGTTTTTTGATCTGTGAGTACGTATGTATGAACAAGCGAGCAAGTTACTCGATTCTCTCGCGACTTGTTATACTTACCAGCTGCTCAGGCCCGAGTTAGGCGTAACCTTGGAACTCGAGTTCCGATGTCTGTACTTACACGGCTATACTTATGCTGGTCGTTTGTTAAGCCAACTTTGTCAGCTTCCAACTCGTATATTATATACACGGCTGCGAGAGCGTTTTAGGGGTGCTGTGTGTTGTGCGCCATTGGTACCGCAACACCATAAGTTCAGCTCACATGGACAAGTGTTTCATGACTAAGGTGCACGTAGTTGACAATATCGCAGTTGTTTACCTTTGATTCCAGAAAAATAACTTTATTTCCGTGCACTATGATTTTTTTTACTTCTTGCTGACAGTGCATGTGACTCATTAATATGTGCGCGCTCGCGCACTAATCGGCTCGAAAATTACTCATTTTTCGTGTTTTTTTTTTTTTTTTTTTTTTTTTTTCTTCTTTCTTTCTTTTTGTGCGAAAGATTACCAAGGCCATACTCACGGCAATTTCATGTATACGCGTCAGACCTCGATCAATGCTTGTAATTTTAATTTTGTTTTCTTCCTTACTCCCTAGAGTTTCTTCAAAAAAATACATCGATAATTCGAGATCTCTTTTTTTCTACCTACCCATTTCTATTCAACATCGTGAATTTTTCACAAAAGTAACTTTTGTTCCCAACAATAATTTTTGACTCCAAAACTCTAATTTCAAGGCTTTGTTGAAGTTTATTTAGCTATGGTTATTATATTCGTTTTGACAAAGTTACAATCAACAAATGTGTTGCTTTTCTTAATCGTCAAAGAATAAGGTCTAGTCCTAATTATTTTATTTGTATCTGTGCACTATTTTTTGACGTAACAATTATCGTTCAAAGTGTAGGTTTTGCGTGCTTTATACTTTGAATTTCGGATTTCTGACAAATAGTTACAAATAAAAATCCCCGGGGAGAAAAAGCCTTTTTTTCTAAATTTTTTGAGATATTTGTTTTAATAATTTTAAAATGGTCCAAAAAATTTATGTCATACAATTTTTTTGGGTGAGACTTTCCCCCTTTTCGTGATAATTGTAATTGGTCTGCATTAAATGCTTATCATGAAAAACGTCGGCGTGGACAGTAGATTAGGGTTCAAAATTAAAAAAGGCAGAATTCACATTTACGTCTATGTATGTTCGAAAAATTATTATATGCAACAAATAAAAAAAAACTATAGCTTGATAAAGTCTAAAGTTATTGCTGTTACGAAAGATAACAAAACACGTTCCACCTGTCCTGAATTGTTTGTCTCGGAGAAAAAAAATGAAACGCGTTAATTAAAACAAATTTAGTTGTTTTTACACACCTGCAATAGTTCAAAAATTGTTACATTTATTTTAAACATTTCTTATCTTAATAAACACATATTATGTACTCAGTGCAGTGTAAACAA